ATGTGAAAAGTGTTACAAAGTTTTATGCAAACAGCAATTTATACAAACACTTTTCTACTAGGCATATGGTAGTAAAAACTTAATTTTAGTGTACTTTGAACAAATTGTGGCAAATATACATAATTAATTGGATTGGGAAGTACTTGATTGTTGTACACATTAAAAACCTGTTTTAACAAAGGTTAGCATAGATAGTATTTTTATCTGCAAATGTATATCCTTAGATGCAAACGGATTATTCAGCATGAAAAAGTTTAACACAAAGCTAGTTGAGGCAACTTTACCTGGTAGAAACCACCCATTTTCCCGTGTCTCCGTGATCCGCGCTCCGCTCCAACTTTACAACCTCCGTATTAAACTCGACATACTTCGCCAAATTAAATTCCTTTGCGTACATTTCGAAATACTCTCGCACTAACCTCTGAGGTAAATAATTAGGAAATTCCTTAGGCATAGGAAAATCGGAAAATCCTGTTACTAATTGGCTCGTATTTGTAACAGTGCTTTTGTGGACCGATGCTAAATTCTGTCGAGGCTCGTCGGTGTAATTCCATGCGCCTCCAAAAGTAGATTGTTGTTCAAAGCATGTAGGTTTCAGGCCAGCATCTAGGCAGCATTTAATGCTAGTTAAACCAGACGCGCCACAGCCAATTATAGCCACGTTTTGTTCAGCCATTAGTCCACTTCTGGTCGAACCGTCTTTAAATTCACGTTCGATACAAATGTTACAAATATCGTATAGACGTTCGGTACTTCGGTGTCCCGGAAATTTGACCCCCTGTAAAACATAAATTAGCCCCCCCGGCCCATATTTCTTTAGAAATTTGGCCCCCTTTTACGGGACTGAACAAAGATAGCCAGATAGGAGCGATTGCAGAATACCAGTCCATTTTTGAAGATATGCTAAATTGCTAATAACGCAGTGGCATATCAGGAGAATTTCTGTTATAGTCCTGTCCCTTGATAATGATTAATGATATTGTAATTTGATAGCGCTTGGCATAGCGCGCGTGACTCCGTAGCCACTGGAAATGTCTGGCGACTGCAGTGAATGATGACTAGTGCCTAGTGGACGGCCGACTGGTATTCTGCAATTTAGCCCAAACATAAGCATGACCAGTAAACTGAGTCTTTCTTATAAACACATTTGACAAATCCATATGAAATCTCACAGCTGTATTCTAAAAGCACACTCAATGAGTGGAGGTTCAAAATGAACTTCCCTTGGCTTGAGTGTCAGTGCTGTTTTCGAATAGCTGGAGGGTTAGCCTCGTACCTTACTATGTGTGACTATTCACCCTCCAACTATTCAAAAACAGCACTGATACTCAAGGGAAGCTCAGATTGAACCTCTACTCTTTGAGTGTGAGTGAGCTTTTAGAATACAGGCGTTAGTCTTGAGAAAGTAATTATGGCATAATAGGCGTTTTAAAACTTTGTAAATGGTTGGAATATATGACATTCCAAAACTTAGACGATTAGGACGATTATCGTGGCTCATGCATGTTCGCCTAAGTGGTTAATGGTTGCAATACTGCTAAGGAATCTGAATCGAAGACACAATAAATCTCCAGCGCAGTGTTTTGATTTTATGTCACATCTACCCTCATTAAACATGCGACCAACGCAAACGGTAGTAAAGGGTATTTTCGTGAGCCGTGAATTTCCAATATTTTTTCTCGTGAAATGACTGATTTTTGTGTTGTGTAAAACATGCATTGTAAATTTATGTACAACTACCTATTTAAGTGTTAAATTCAATCCTGGTAATTATAATTGGCAATTTGAAATTATTCTGCAACATTTAATTATTTATATTAAACACCACACCATATTTTAAGTTAGACAGTACATATATCTCAAACCTGAGACAATTTTCACATAGTTCATACACCTTAATGGCGCAAATAGACCATTTTGCCCATTTTCAGACCAATGCAACAGACTTCATGCCTTGAGCATTATTGCAACTATAGCAAAAACAATCACAAAAATAAATACAAGAACACTATGACTGTTACTTTCTGCTGATGGTGCACACTTTCTGGTACTTAATGGACAAAGATACTGTTCTTGAAAACTCATGATATGTTTCCTCGCGTCCTTCCAAGTATTGGGTCCTTGCAGTCGATATTGAGTTGGGATGGCAGTTCCAAAGAAAACTTGATAGGCCAGTTTTGGATCTTCTTTGAATATTGACCATAAGTTCGGTTTGGCGCCGATCATCTCACCAAGTTCATTCATATAGGGGACATAGTTAACCTTTAAAACTGATATTTGGATAGAAATAGATTGTAAGCGATTTGAAACCAGTATCTTTAACAGCAATTGAACACTATTAAAGTTATAACCACCATCAGCATTCACTACCATCTATCTTTCCTACCGTATTAATCATCATCATCATACAACCGGAAGTACGTGGTTTTATAAACCTCTTTTCAATCTGCGCATGCTCACCAGTACGTTTCGCTACGATACGGGCGAAGTGGAAAACCGGCTTCACGCTACTATCTTCCCGACGAAAGGCCTTCGCTCGAAACGTTGAAGTTCCGCTTGTATTTCTCAGGTAGTTGAGTCTCTTTCAATCCGTAGCTGTCTTCTTATCGTCACTACACTGGCCCAGACCATTCGAGATTTAAAAAATGGTGGTAGAGTATGATATTCAGTTTATATATACAGGGTGTGAAAATCGTGGAAAGTCCTTGAATTGGAAAAAAAAATTCCAAGACTGGAAAGTCCTTGAAAATCAGTAGAAGTCCTTCCTTGAAAGTCCTGGAATTCATTTCCTTAACCTCCAGCTGTGCCAACATTAGTGATTTTAATTACTGGATAAAGTGAATTATTTACGGCAAATCCATGCCATTTTCAAAGATTTTTCCCAGTTCTTGGTCCTTGAATTTACTGAAAAAGGGCCTTGAAAGTCCTGGAAAAGTCCTTGAATTTCACCTTCACCAAAGGGTGGACACCCTGTATATAGCCACACTATACATAATCCTAAATAGTCTGCGTCTTTGCAATAATCCGCCCATATACTGTATAACAATAAATACAAACAGCAGTCTTCTTTAGACTATACAACTGCCTGAAAAATACAAAAAAAACTTCGACGTTTCGAGTGGCCGCTTTTCCCATTTTCAATTGATGCAAAACACACTTATAGTAAATGTAGGAATTAATCACAAGTCTCATTATGTTCATTGGCTATTCTATTGTCACTAGTACGTGGTTTCATGCCTTGAGCATTATTGCAACTACAGCAAAAACAATCACAAAAATAAATATAAGAACACCATGACTGTTACTTTCTGCTGATGGTGCACACTTTCTGGTACTTAATGGACAGAGATACTGTTCTTGAAAACTCATGATATGTTTCCTCGCGTCCTTCCAAGTGTTGGGTCCTTGCAGTCGATATTGAGTTGGGATGGTAGTTCCAAAGAAAACGTGATAGGCCAGTTTTGGATCTTCTTTGAATATTGACCATAAGTTGGGCTTGGCGCCGATCATCTCACCAAGTTTATTCATATAGGGGACAAAGTTAACCTTCAAAATATTTGGATGAAAAATTGATTGTAAGCAATTGAAACTAGTATCTTTAGCACAAATGAGCACTATTGAAATTATAAGTTTATAACCACCATCAGCTTTCACTGCCACAACCATATATCTTTCCTACACTATTGTAGTTTACCAATAATTGCGCCCGCAGTAATTGGCAATAAGCTGTTCCGGTGTCCCGGCCACTCTGTTTTGTTATTGTAATTTTATGCCGGAAAAGTTATTAAATAAGTTAAAAATTTCAAAGCCCATCTAATCATGCCAAATTTATTTCATTACCGACCCACCCAATCTAAATTGGGAAAATACAATTTTATAACAAAAAAAACTTGCAGGTATGAACATTGTAAATATACACCGGCACTGTATTGACGTACATAATTCCACCAAGCTTGACCAACACATTCATCACCAATTACGATTGGTTGTATTTGCTGTGATTCGACCACTTCTTGTTGTTGTATAAAACAAAGTACTGGCTTCAATAGCATCATTTGCATTTGATAATTTGGATAGTTTTGTTTATTTTTATTATTAATATCTTCATGTAATATATTTAACATGGGTTTTTGTTTGGTGACCCAACCGTGGACATACCAAAAAATTGGCGGCCCATCCAAACTGCCCAAAGATTTTCCATGGCCCATCCCAAATCACTCCAGCCCACCCTAGCAGTTACTTTATGACCGGTTCCTAATTGCCATCACCATAACCGCCATCATGCATAACGACATCATCATCAGAGGCGCCGGAATATCGATAATTGCGGGGGCAGATATTTATATATTCGTGTTCACAGACTGTAAAAACAATCGATTTCGAAAGAAATTAATTGGGCAGAACACGAATATCTGCCCCCCCCCCAATTATCGATATTCCGGCGCCTCTGATCATCATCACCGTACTGTAATTGCTATCGTTACTGTTGTGGTTATAACTAAATCTTCTATCCACTGGCAACACCATTATGTACTCACCCTCATAAAGTTGTATTTGGACGCTCCAGTTTTCAGCCACCATTGTTCCCGTTCTGCAATCTCCTTTTCCATTTCACCCTCACTTGGCAAACTACATCTCCCCGCAAACACTTCTACAGCAACTCTTGCTTGCATTTCAGAGACAGGGACCACCGGCCCTCCGACCCCCACTACACCAATCACAGCTAATGTATGCCACTCATCATCAGGCAAAAACACGTGCTTATATAAACTGATATAGAAATCATCCTTTACTTCTATGATCTCTTTTGCAAATGGGTATTTTGGTTTGAATCCGGTTGCAAGAACTAAAGCATCGATGTTATCCAATGTCTCGCCCCCCTCGAGAGTGACAAAATTTTGTGCAATCTCCTTGACATTCCCTTTGACTTTTATACTGCCAGTTATAATACGGTGTTGAATCTCATCGTTTATAATTGGAAATTTATTCACACCGAGGGTGCCTGTTGGTTGAAGGCCAAAGTTTCTAAAGTCAACTTTGTTGTTCACCAATCCAGGGAGAAGTTTTGCCAGGATTGCAAGTGGTATAAGCTGGGTTGCTCTGGAGATACTAAAATCAAGAGGTTGTCCTCCACGACCAAGACGTGTGAAAACATAACATCCACTTCTTGTGCTTATGTAGACTTGGGCAGCATGATGACTTAATTCAACAGCGATATCAACTGGTTTAAAGAAAGAAAATATCATTGGTGTGTTTTTAACCCAAATCCATTGAGTGCCAGCACTCCTCCCTTGATGATGTTCTGGTGTTAGACATAGAGTAATAAATAATAATTTTTTGTATACACACAAATTTCAAACGTTTGTACTAAACAGTAACATAAATATGGTAAACTGGAGACTGACGATATATCATTCACGGGGAAAGGTACTGTAGGTCATGACACCCCCGCCCCCCACTTTTCTTCAGGACCAATTTTGTAATTTATTCAAAAATGGTGAGAAACTGCAGGGGTTGTAGCCTCTTAATGTTTTCATCTATGACATAAAATATACCAAAAATGGCTTTCAATCATAAGATGTGTATAAACCCTAACCATAGAAAAAATTTCTGGGGGAGCATGTCCCTGAATGGCCGAGCGATTAGACCCTCCCCACTCACTTGGGGCTGGCTACGCCTCTGCAGGCACCCTAAATAATTTCAGTGTGAATCTGCAAATAATTAATGGTTGAGAATTATGTGCAAAAAACTGGTAAGGAAAGATATAACACCTTTATATATATATATAAAATGAGCATGGATTGGTAGATTCTGTACATACCAGCCGAGTGACTACACCCAACAACAACAACTCTTTTTCCAACATATGGATGAAACGTTCTGTAGTCTCCACTATGCACTATAACACCTTTAAATTTCTCCATCCCTGGAATATTAGGCTTTGCT